ATGCCACTGGCCCTGCTAGATGCACCATAGATGAGGCGTCTGGGAGCTTGCTCAGGCTTCTGCTGGTACCAGGCTAAGTAGCTTCCAACACTCTGACTGGCCTTGCAGGTGAGGGTGACTCTTTCCCCTGGAGACAAAGTCACAGAGGCTGGAGTCTGTGTCAGCACAATTTCTCCTGTGGTAGCTGAGATGGAAAGAGAACAGAAAGATCACCTGTACAGTCTAGGTCATAGCCCAGTCTCCAAAGTAAAGCCAGGACCTTGCAGCATTCTGAGTTTTAATCACTGGGCTTGCTAAACAAAGGTGCCAAGACAAAAGACTCAACCACAATGAAAGAGGTTTCACAGACATGCAGAACAATCCTATTGTCCCTCACCTGGGAGCCACAGTAACAGGAGGGAAAAGAGCTGAATGGGGGCTGCCATGGCTCCTTTAGGGTCCAACCTAACATTGGGCTCCTCAGAGCCTTAAGCAGTCACTCATATGGCTCTGGAAAGCAGTGTGGGAAGGGCATGCAAAGAAGCTGGGAGGGGCCAGCAGGGCTTCTAGGGGCAGAGAGTTTGCCTCCTTCTGTCTGCACTTGAACACCCAGCTAGTCCCAGATGGAGAGTCTTGGGCTCAGCCTGAGGACAGATCTCCCTCCTGTGGAATGGAACTTCACCCCTCTTTCATCATGCCTCTCCCGGCTAATAAACTGTCCAGCTGACATTAGAGCAGTCCTACAGGGAACTGCATAGAGGCCTGAGGTCTCACTTCTCTCTTCATCTTCTATGCCTGGTCCTCTCTATGGGGGTAGGGTTAACTGTCCTGGCTAGGAGGGTGTGACCAGGCCACACCTCCTCCTTGCTCTTTACTGATCTTTTCTGCAGTCCCAGGAGAAACTCACCCTGTGTGAGATGTAGTGTGAGGAGCTCTCTTTAGCCCCAGAGTGTGGTACAAGAAACCACCACTGCCTAGCATACAAGGGCCTGGCTCTGGATCCTCAGGATCCAGGCACTAGATCCCTGAGATAGACACTAGTGCTGCCCAGCAGGTAGGAAGGTCTTTCTTCAAAGACCCTCTAAAACCCTCTCTTCTACCTTGTGTGATGTGCATGTCTGACCAGATCCCAGCTTCTCCCCTGGGCAATGTGGAGAAGCTCAGCTCCTGGTTCTGATCTACAGAGGATCCAGCTGGGCTTCCTTGGGCTCCTCAGCATGGGTCACATGGGGTTATGAGGGCCTGGTCCACAACCTCCCCTGGTCAGGATGAGAAGCTCTTCAGGCTACATTCTCTGTTCTGAGCCTCATGTCCTATATTCTGTTTTTCCCACAGGAGTCCAATGTGTTTGCTTTGGAGCCATTTTTAGCCCACGAGTAATTAGCTATTAATGCTCTGTCAGCTCCCAGTGGAATCTTCATCCATTCAGAAGTTAGAGCTTCTTCCTCCAGAAGATCATGTCCCTAGCATCCTAGAAGTTACCAGCACAGGCACTGAAGCTGGTCCTTTGC